GAATGAATGAATGAATGAATGAATGAATGAATGAATGAATGAATGAATGATAGAAACAACATAAAATACAGATATACAAATATCTATATATTTGTATATCTGTATACACTGTATCATTACTAAATAAAGTTTAATTTAAAAACAAAGTTAGCTAAAGTTCTAGTTAATTGGATTATTTTCTGGTCATGTATTTAATCATTTTCCATTTTAGTTGTAGTGAATTTGTAGCAACCTTTGAAGGTCTCTGATGGGTGCACCCAAGATTTTTTAGGGGCCTCAGGTTGGGAACTTCTGTTGTAGAAGCATAGGAGCAAAAAATAACTTCTGTTGTATACTTCATAAGTCGTAGAGCGCATTTCAGAAGTAGCATCCCCATTTTGTATCTACTGTAATGTACAATAAAATTCTTTTTAGTTTGTACCTTTGTTTTTCAGTCCTACATGGTGCTGAGCCTCTGCCTTACTACACTGCTGCACACGCAATGAGTTGGTGTTTACAATGTTCCCAAGGAGTAGCATACCTTCACAGCATGAAACCGAAAGCACTCATTCACAGGGACCTAAAACCACCAAAGTAGGTTTTCAAGAATTCTCTATCATTCTTAAAGGCTATTTTCTAATAAGCCTAGAGAACATTGTGATTTGTAATAGTAACTCTCAGATGCAATGTAAGTTATTTCAATATTATGCTGCTATTCTACTATATTTCATTAGCGCTAAAGGGTATAACTTGCGCTGTAATAACTTACTGTAGGAGATCTAAAAGCTTGTTCCTATACAATATTGTGAATATTAAAATTAGCAACAATGATGTACTAGACCTTGATAACCTGGGAATTTTCAATTAAAATATGAAAGGAAGAATTAGTTACAGAGGAAATACCTTGATAAAGCTCAGGTCGTTACAATGGGCATCTGTGATCTGATAAGAAGCGAACTTACCTTGTTTGTGAAATACACTTTTTTATTATTATATTTATCTAGTCACTCTGTGAGACATATTTTCTGTGTGGCTCACCAAAATAAAAGCAAGATTAAAATACAATATAAAATTAGTCTTTTAAAAGTAAAAGAAAAGTTAAAGCTAAATAAGGAGCAAAATAGTTGTTCCTTTAAAATGAGTCCTGGTCTTGATAACATTGCAATTACTTGCTTCTGCATTCAGTAACAAATAGGTATAAACCTGGTAGCTCCATTCAATTTGATTTAAGAATGCATTAATTACTGGGGCTTTGCAGTGCACTGCAGTGCTTTGGAAATAATACATTAGAAGGGGCTTTGGAACATGTGAGAACATGAATGTACAGTGGGGCAAAAAAGTATTTAGTCAGCCACCAATTGTGTAAGTTCTCCCACTTAAAAAGATGAGAGAGGCCTGTAATTTTCATCATAGGTATACCTCGACTATGAGAGACAAAATGGGAAAAAAAATCCAGAAAATCACATTGTCTGATTTTTAAAGGTGACCAAATACTTATTTTCCACCATGATTTGCAAATAAATTCTTTAAAAATCAGACAATGTGATTTTCTGAGGAATGGGCCAAAATACCAACAACAGTGTGTGAAAACCTTGTGAAGACTTACAGAAAATGTTTGACCTCTGTCATTGCCAACGTGACCAAATACTTATTTTCCACCATGATTTGCAAATAAATTCTTTAAAAATCAGACAATGTGATTTTCTGAGGAATGGGCCAAAATACCAACAACAGTGTGTGAAAACCTTGTGAAGACTTACAGAAAATGTTTGACCTCTGTCATTGCCAACGTGACCAAATACTTATTTTCCACCATGATTTGCAAATAAATTCTTTAAAAATCAGACAATGTGATTTTCTGAGGAATGGGCCAAAATACCAACAACAGTGTGTGAAAACCTTGTGAAGACTTACAGAAAATGTTTGACCTCTGTCATTGCCAACGTGACCAAATACTTATTTTCCACCATGATTTGCAAATAAATTCTTTAAAAATCAGACAATGTGATTTTCTGAGGAATGGGCCAAAATACCAACAACAGTGTGTGAAAACCTTGTGAAGACTTACAGAAAATGTTTGACCTCTGTCATTGCCAACGTGACCAAATACTTATTTTCCACCATGATTTGCAAATAAATTCTTTAAAAATCAGACAATGTGATTTTCTGAGGAATGGGCCAAAATACCAACAACAGTGTGTGAAAACCTTGTGAAGACTTACAGAAAATGTTTGACCTCTGTCATTGCCAACCGTCTGGCACTGCAGGATTTGAGTCCCTGGCAGCATAGAAGTGGGAGAACTTGCACAATTGGCGGCTGACTAAATACTTTTTTGCCCCACTGTAGCTGCATCTTTTTCCAGGATCGCACAACTGCCCTTTGCTCCAAAAAAGTACTTTTGAGGAACCTGATCTGAAGCTTTGCACAGCCCTGTTAAGTATTCTGTAATTACATATATATGCAGTGCTTTGATGCTGGTCCTTTTGTCTTGTTATAGTATGACCAGAAAAATACCCAAGACAAAACTACTCATTTGTTTTTATTGGTTCCTATGGAGATATGTGGGCCAGTGTGAAAGGACTGAAATCTAAGAAGGAGAACAAAATGTAGTCCCTTTACATGTGTGGATCAAATAGAATCAGAATTCAGAGTATATATTTATAAATTCATTGAAAGCTGGATTCCGCTCTGCTGCACAGTGGAATAAAAATTCCCTTTTCTCTTCTGACACTAAAGCATGTTACAGTCTTTTGTAATTTCTTCAGTGTATGGCCTCTGTCTTCCCAAACTTACATTTCTGGCATTGTGTTAATTACAAATAAAAATAGTCTACTTCTGTCCTCATAAAAGAAGTATATTGTTTTTAATTACAGTAAAAATCTTATGTCCACTTTTCACTTTTGTATATTTAAATCTACAGATACTAAGCATAAATTGCTTAGAGAAAATTTTCTCCATTTCTTAACACTTCTTTTAGCAATATACTCTAATTCAAAGATGACTAAACAATTCTGTTTGTTTTACAGTTTGCTCTTGGTGGCAGGAGGAACTGTTTTAAAAATATGTGATTTTGGTACCGCATGTGATATTCAGACTCACATGACCAATAATAAGGGCAGTGCTGCTTGGATGGCCCCTGAAGTTTTTGAAGGTAACAAAGTAATTTGAAACTTACTACCATTCTCAAGTGTATTATGAGCATTAGTCATTTTTGTAGTAAGCTATGATACGGAGATTAATTTGATATAGATGTACTTTTTCCTGTTGTATGTAAAGGCATTTCAGAAGCCAGTGGAAAAGACACAGTCAACAGTCTAGTTATAATGTAACCTAAATTGTTGAAAGCTTACAATTTAAATTAATGCAGTTTAGGAATTCTAATTTAAATCACATAGCTGGGCAAGAATGACTCATATATGAAGTAGTGAAGCTGATTCTGTTGTAATGTACTATTGAAGTATAATGTTTTATTAGCACTGGTGTGCCTTTGACTAAATTTTAAAAAGTAAATATGACTTACAGTTTGTTTCAAACAACTAATCTCTTCTTAAGAAATCTTTCAATTGTTATACTAGAAAATTTAAGATATTTTATATTTTTACATTTTCCCAAGCTTTTTTCATTAATCAAATTAATTTGATGTAGAATTTAAATCAAGTGAAAGTTGTACAAAAAGTATTGAATTCAAGATTACTATAAAGCACAGTAGTAGTGGCAATCAGCATATGATCATAAAATTACTCTCTTCTTGAACTTTGAGGTTTGATGGTATGAATCATATTATGTAACTGAACAAAAATACAGATGCTTTTACACTGAATACCATGTGCATGAATGTGTAAATCATTTGATTCATGCCAATACCCTTGCTGTTATAAAGTACATGTTTAAATCAGCCTATTTTATAGTATATTGAAGAATCAATTGTAGAATTGGTTGCAACCAATTTAATTTAGTTTTTTTATTACTATTCGGAGAATACCTGTCATCTTGTTAGTAATAGAGAATGTTACACACACACACATTATATAAATGATCCTTTTCAGGTAGCAATTACAGTGAAAAATGTGATGTATTCAGCTGGGGTATTATTCTTTGGGAAGTAATTACCCGCAGAAAACCTTTTGATGAGATCGGTGGTCCTGCTTTTCGGATCATGTGGGCAGTTCACAATGGTAAGCTCAAATTTTAAATAAAGAACAAGTGTCTTTGTGGGATGTTTGCCACCAATTTTCTATATAGTATTCTATTGTGATGCTAGATGTGCTGATGCAATTTCAGGCCATTCTTTTCCTTTTCGTTTTTTTTTAATTTAAAAATTTTATATGTTGCCCCCCCCCCATCTTTAGAACATAACTTTGGTTGGCTAACAACTGATTTATAAATAAATAAATATCTCCATAACCAAAGAAAGTTAAAATAATTCAATAGGGGGAAAAAAACATGAAACACAATATAACAAATTCAGAAACAGATATATTGGGCTCCCTTAACATCCTGCCCTAGTACCTGGGGAAACTGGCAGGTCTTAATGGCCTTCTGAAAAGCCACTCTAGACATGCTGGTGGCAAATCTCATTGTTTAAATTATTATTTGCCTCTGTTGCACAGAAGGCAGAGGCTAGGGTTTAATAGGAAAAAAACCAAATGCAAGCCCCTCTTCCGGCCCCTTGTTATTTTACTTAATTGTCACCTGTCTTTTCTTCATGCTTTCATATGGACTGGGGAAAGCTAAATGTAGAAAGTAACACTTTTCTTATAATGGTTGGAATGAAACAGACATTTTTTATTTTGAGTTTGGGGCAAAACAGCCCCACCCAAAATGTTCCATCAGTACATGTCCACGTTGGATCTGCCTCAGAGAGACTAACTGAATATTTTCACTGTTCTGGCCTTAGCAAACAATGATAATTTGAAAAAAAGAACCCCCTCTTTATTCATTCGAAGACCATAAAAATAGTTTGGATGGTGTCTATTACAACAGCTGTGTGCTCTTTCTGTCTCTCTCTCAAAAACATTAGAAGGTCCCCAATGAAAACAGTGTAAGTGGTTGGGGTGGGTTGTTTAGTTTTTGCTTTTTCCCATCTTATGTGCACAATTAGGCAGTTTGCCACAAAAAAGTGCCTGTTTGTGCCATGGTACTATCAAAAAAAATGCTACTCTTATAGGAATAACATTAGCATTCATCAATAAAACAAACTATAAAAAATCATTTCCACTTGACTTCAGTTTAAAAAGAAATATAAGACCTTTTGCTAGGCAGCAATGCTAAACCAACCAACAAAACCAGCTTTTACCTCTCCCCAAGAAGGTGCACAAAAGCACAAACAGAAGGTGTACCTCAGCATATACAAACTGGAGGCAAACAAGTCTTTTTATTTATATAATATATCCTGAAAAATGCAAAGACTGGAACATGAACAAAATACATACACAGTACATTCTTCACAAATACAGTTCATCACTTGAAAAAGTTAACTATATTAGAAATGTTTACGTAATACACACAGTGAATGCACATAAAAGCAAAAAAACAAAAAAAAAACATCAGATAAAACACTACCCATTTGATCTAAACTCCCCAAAGAAATAATTTTTTTAAAAGCAGTAAGCCTATATTCCAGGCATGGTAGCCATTGAGTCTTCATCAGTTCTTATGTTTGAGATCAGCCTGAACTACTTCTCAGTGCACATGCTCCCCCCCCCCATCTAGCCTAGGCAAATCCATGGTTGGGGGCATAACAATACAGTAGTAATATCTGCTTCCAACCATAAGTTTATGCTTTCCTTTCAACCCCACCCCCTTATCACTCCTGCCACTATCAGCCAATAGTGGCAGGGGTGGAGCCAGTCCCTGCTGCTCTATTGGTTAAGCTAGAAGCACTTTGAGGGGGGAAACAACACATTCATAGCATTGGTACAGCCAGAACAGTCAAACAGCCTTGTTTTGAAAGATAGGACAAAACCATTTTCGCCCCCCCCCCCCAATCTTGGGACAAAACCTATGAAACACGGGTTCAT